GTACGAATGAAACAATCGCTTTTTAGCTTACCTTTTTTAGTTTTAATTATTAAAATGTTTCTCGGCTGATATAACGAAGAGAGGTACTTTCGGTAATTTTCAATTTAGTCACTTGATATAGATTAAATTTTATTTTAAATTTCTAAATTAAAATGAGCGTCGGTTGTAGCTTCTTCTATATCTTTCTTTTTGTATTTTAAATTTGTATCATTTCGATACGCGGTGATTTTTAAAAACATTTTAACCAGCGTCGAAGGCAAATCAAACTTTCATACAACCCCCGGCACTCAATATTCGACTACCTGCACTATTGTCCATGCGCGCATACCTGGTAAAGTTTTAAATTCCTCGCCAGCCGCCTAGTCCTTCCAATTTTCAAAATTTTAGGTGCAAATACCAATTTCTCTAATCTTTATACGATCCTTTGTAAATTGTACAGGAATTGAGGGAAATTTTAAAGGTAACTGTAATTTTCATTTAGCTTCGCGGGACAAAGGGTGCGCAATAAAACGCGTGCTTTTTAAAATGCACGTCGCGAGGAATGGATCGAACTTCAAGCATAATGACTAAACCGCCTTTGTATTTCGTTTACAATTGAGAAAAAAAATACTTGAGAAATTTATATTTCCAATCTTACGTTCTACCGATATTTTGAGGTTAGGGTGGCAAGTCGTGATCCTAAAGTTTCGAAAGATTCTCGGTAAGTTTCTTCGCTCTTGCATTGCAGAAGCAACGACAATGGAAAGTTACCCAAGCGCAAGCGCTCGGCTCGGCACTTTCCACCAGTACAGCCGACTGACTAGCAGCTACAGAGTGTATCGGTGGTAGTAATGCTGACGTTGGTGTGTGAGGCGTTCGCTATGGTATATATGTACTCATGGACTGGCGGCGAGGCGAGATCCTCGACGATACACTGTACACACGAACACTAGTATCGTCGGAACGAACACACTAACCTACGAATGATTATATGGCAGCACACTGGCGCAGAGCGTAGCATGTGGTACGACAGTATAAGCGTATGCTAGGTTACAAAGAACACCCGTTCTCTTACGTACCCACACAACGGTAACGGACAAACCCTCGTGTGAAATATACATGTATGTATGTGGCAAAAGTTTCGAAGAAAACAACCATAAGTTTCCCCGTTGCTTGCAAATTTGTACAACGGTCACGGATACTAGCAATAACGTAGTAGTGGAATGCAAAACTAATGGATTACGAGGACAAAATGGGAAAGAGGAAAAAATCTGTATTAATTGAAATTTAATAAATTTAATTTTCAACTTTTTATCATGAAAATTTCAACAAAATTCTTCGTGAAGCGAAAAGCGTTGCGAGAAATATCCTAGAAGGAAATTTTTACAAAGAAAAAAAATTGCATAGCGTGTCTCCTTTAATCGAGTTTCGACCCGCCGATTCGCAGAATGAACGTTATTAAGCTTGTAAGCACGGAAGTACAGCGCATGTCGTCGCGTTTACAAAATTGTGAAATCGCTCGTTTCGCAACGGCACCGGCATCCGTCTCGTGATCTTCCTCCGCAAGTATGAAAAAACACACGTCTATCCCCCTCTACGGCTTTCCAACCGTCCAATCGTCGTCCTTTCGGGAGTGTTCAAACCACGCAGAGACTTTTTCAAAATGTTCGTGTCACGAAGGGTTGCTGCGAGTCTCTCTCTCAGCCCATATGCCCTTTTGTGCGTATTCGAGCCACTTCTGGCGCACACGTATCCGTAGACCGTGACGCGTTGCACACAACACCGCTCTATGTACACGAACCCCGTCTACCCACACCATTTAACCTTGCGAGGTATAGAGCGACTGTGTACACACACACAACGGTGCATATTTGTGTGGAGCGCGCGGTGTGTGCCAGCCGTGGTACGGCACCACTGGCGCGCCTCTACCCCGGCTTTAGCATCGATTTCCAGTCGGACGACCCAGCGCGATCGAGCGAACGGTACGCGCCTTCACGAGGAGGTATCGAGCGTCCGCCGCTTGTGGGAGTCCACGAAGAGGGGTCGCGCGAGAAATAATACAGTTTGTCGTCGTCGAAACGATGAACGTTTCAACTTGGAGTATATACGATAAAATGCGATCCATTGCTTCTATTCCTTCGTTTTACGTATTAGGATAGATAGATCAGGGGAAAAAGGGGGACAGAGATAGATAGATAGATAGAGAAAGGGACAAAAGGAGAGACGGAGTAACAAAGAGAAGGATAGAGAGAGCGAGTGGGAGCGGATCTACGTAGAGGGGAGATAGGGTCGGCGCTTTGGTGGTAGTGCTAAGTCCCGAGGGGCAAGAGGAAAAGGGGACGAGCAGAAGGCAGCGAAGGCGCTGCCCTCAGTCGGTCGCCCGTTTCACTACAGTCAGCATACAGAAAGAGCCAAGCGATTGGCTATACGTGTGGTCTTCGCCTAAGCGCGCACTGCTGCTTCGTGTTCCCGTTTTTCGAGTGAAGGCTTCGAGCTTCGTTCTGCCCGCTCTTTCGCTCGCTCGGTCGGTCGTGAACGAGTGTGCGCGCGCGCACTCACACGCGCCCATCCAAATAGACAGAAACAGAGAAAGAGAGAGAGAGACACACAAGTGTGGAGAGTCGTGCAGAGGCAGGCGCGCGTATACAGCCATCGAACGTGGTGATTCGCACAGAGGCGGACGTGAGATAGAGAGCATAGAACCGAGGCCGTGTCACGCGAGGAAAAAAGACGGCATTACGTTCATCACTGTCCTTGTTGTCTTCTCGTCATCACCCGTCACCGTTGTCGTCGATGAGACCGTCAACGGGATTTCGTCGACGCTCGAGCGTAGTTTTTTCTTGGCCGACTAAAAGGTATACAAATACTTACATGGGAACAGTCGGTACGTCGAGTCCTGACGAGCAGGAGGATCAAAGACGATCGTGAGTAAATAGAGCGAAAAAGGGGGTAACCTACCCTGCGGAACCGCGCGTGTATAGTCTCGCGGCGGACGATCGAAGTATACGCAAGAGCAACCGTGTGTATTCCAAGCTTCCTTCGGTAGATCGGGTGCATACGTGCGTGTACGAGAACTAAGAGGTGGGGGAGACAGTCTATACTTCGCGGACATCCGGCGGGGAATCCGCATGCATTCGTACGAAGCTCTCTGAGAGAGCGAGGGAAAAAGGAGGAAAGGATTTGGCGTCGAGGGAAACACGGTGCTGGCTGCTGCTCTCGAGTGCTCGAGAGACTTGAGAGGAGAAAGGAGGTTCTTTGTCGTTCCGACTCTACTGCTATATCTTTGCACGTTCTCCTTTTTGTCGAGTTTAACAAAATCGGATTTGCAATTGCTTCCATAAACAGACATTAATATTGTATTTATTTCCTTCGGTCCTCGTATCGCGTTGATCCTCGTGCGTGCGTACCCGCACGCAACGGTTGAAATTTTCGGTACAAATAATAAGGGTGGTGGAAAGAGGTGGAAGGACGTGGCGTGAGAGAGGGATCGAGGGGAAGGGAGAGAAGTCTGAAACACGCCGAGCAGTGCTGCTCCCTATTGGCGACGTCGAGTCGCGCTCCCCACCCGGGACAGTCGAACGAGGTCCGAAGGCGAGTTCTCGGCGTGTAACTACGGTGATTTTCCCTTACGAGAGTGTACGCACGAGACCTCGTAGCTCTGCACCACATCCCGTTCAGCGTAAACATTTCTTGAACAACATACGAATACATCGTGGAAATATTAAACCGGGGTACGTTATTCTGGAAGCGTGAAGAAATAACATTCGTGGAAATCGAAAAACAGCCAAGAGAAGAGAAGAAGACAGAGAGAGACTAGCAGTGTTGAAGTCCGCTTTACACGCGTGTTTTATTGTCGATATTTTCTCTTTCGCCAATCGATTTGTTGTGTGCGCCGATCGAGAACGCGTCCCACGCGTGTGTCGCGTATCACCGCCGCCGGTGAAACCGAGAGAATTCGAACGAGTCAGAGGGTAAAATAGGATTTCTCGCGTGGTCGGTCCTCTCCCGAGGCACGCGCGGAGGGGGGTGCACCAGAGGAGCGCAAGAGAGGGAGAGAAGGAAAGAAAGCGAGACATCGTGCAACGAAGATAGAAGAGGAAGGAGAGGGAGAAAGAGATAGAGACTCTTTAGAGGGAGGGACGAGGACGTGTATACTTCACGGAGGCGCCGGTGCTGCGCCCCAACGGCCGTTCGTCGAAGCTCAGTTATCACAATGGCTTCCGTGAAAGACACAGCGACTTTCTTCGCGGAGGGCACAGCGAGTCAGTTCGAACACGTACTGAAGCTTTATCCGCAGGCCCTCAGGCTCAAGGCCGATCGGAAGCCGAAAAAGCCCGAAGAGTTGATCAAGTTGGACAACTGGTAAGTTCAGAAAATAGCACTGTATTTCGTCGACATATTAATGCCCGACACACACGGGCCCTCCTTTTCAACGAGGGGCTTCCACCACGGGCACACACGGGACAATGAACCCGTGGCGCGCCAGTTGCCACCACATACCGCATGTTGTGTGTGTACCCGTATGGCCCCCTCATGAGACTAGCCACAATTCCAGATAGTATATTTACTCTCTCCTATTGCCGTGATCGACGACGGTCGCCGTAGAGGCGGCCACTTCGAAAGACGTGGCTAGAGTTCCGTCTTTTGAACTGTACGCAAAGGACTCATGTGTCACGTGGTGATTCGATCGAAACTCACTTCCCCCCCCCTTTCGTTTATTGCTGTGCGTGTACAGTAATTTCAACGTTAGTTTCATTGATGGTTAAACGCTTTTAAAATATCCTCTTTCATCGCGGTGATATTGACCGAGGAATTTTCGTGGGAATTTTGTGCCACCTCATCGAGGAAGTCTCGACGTTGCCGTTACGGTCTTATGCCTCGCATCCTTCGTAATTTTTGTGATACAATATGTTTTGGAAACCGTCGAGAGAGCATGAAGACACACGGGAGAACAGGACACGGTTCGTTTTGAATATTTTTCCAAAGGTTCGTCAATATTAAACGGATTTTCGAGCAGGCGTCGCGCTGGCAACGATGCCAGTGAAAGAGGCGACTCGCCGGCGTCGCTTTCACGGCGTCACACAACTACCTTGACTTGTTCGGACACGATTAACGAACCTTTCTCCACTTTTTTTTGCAATTCTTTTTTTTTTTTCAAACGTTAGACGATTCACACAGTCCCATCTTTCGCGAAAAGAAATATTCGAACTTCTAAATCCGTGGATAATCATTGCGGTTAAGTTTCATCCATTTGAAAGTTGAACGCCTACAAAATTGTAGGCGTCATGTTTATTATTGACAAAACGTTTCGGGTTATGTTGATCTTTTTGTGTCGAGTAGCGTCGAAATCTAAAAGATCTTTGACGATAATAAATCAATCATCGTATTTCATTCAGATACTTATCGTTAGGTATACTTGATTGATAATCTGTTATTTTGAAACGGAAAAAGTGATCTCCACTATTGAAAATCGTGGAGAACACAAGGTTGTATTAAAATTGCTACAATTTTCAAGGATGTCGCTGTTTGATTCACGTACATAACTAACTTCTATTTTTAAATTTCATACCGCTAATCCTCCTTTCATTCCCAAATTATTTAACAACGATGAAAAATTATTCGCTCGTATTTTTTTTTTTCTGGTTCATGAAAACACTTTACGGTATTTCTCGAGCATGCTGCAAAATGTAGATAAAGCGCAATTCATTTCGAAACATTTCGCGAAAAATGATTACACGAGAGAAAATATGGTCATATACGGTTACAGTTGGAAACGGGATGATTACGAATGAACGCGCGGAATTCTTTGATAATTATGGCAGAAATATCTTTCTATTACAGATAAAATACATTAACAGAACACTTCGTTTCACCCTCGTAAAATATTCGCGCGACCCTTAAAGAGCAAGTCTCGTTACGCGATTTACTAAACAGACGACGGGGCGTCGGATGAAGCGCGTTTATCGAGCGGCGCGCCAGATTTCGCAGGCTCGAAACGATAAAAGTAGAAATTTATCGAGTGAAATCCGATTTGCCGGGTTCCTCCGGTCCGGCGGAAACTGGATGTTGTCGAGGAAAATTTTCGGTGCAAACGCCTCGAATTGGGTATAGTTCACCGTTGACGAACGTCCGCGACAACGAGGTTTCCACGGTGCGAGCTTTAATTCCACTGGCGTCACGTCTGGCTTAATTAATTAAATGCAGGTTCGAGGCTCGTTAAATTCCGCGTTAAGGCTTTTTTTTTCGTTTTTTTTTTTTTTTTAGTCCTTCCTCTGGAATCGAACAATAATAACGGAATCTTCTCCATCTCACCATCCCGGAGATCGCGTACTCTGCCACCTTTTAACTATTCATTATTTCGCCGTCTTTCGATCGTCTTTCCCATCGCTTTTCGTTTCCGCTTACTTTACGAAATATATTTAATTATCGAGTTTATTCCAGAGCGTCCGATTTCCCGATTGAGCCATGGTAATTCTCGTGCTTGGTCAATCGCGGGGACATTACGATAAAAGTTAATTGTCTCACGGAAAAAAGAAATACTTTCAATGAAAACGCGCCTTTGTGTCAAAGGTTGGAACAAGGACTCCATTGAGATTTCAAAGTTCCAGCGGAAGTTCATTTATATTATACGGATTTCTCGTGCGTTTCGATGGAAAAGACGCGGAAATAATGCTATTTTGAATTACAGTGGTGGCTATATAATAACATCGTTCGTTGGAAAGGATTTTTGTTATTTTTCAAATTCGTTTTTTTTTGACGGCGAAGACAAACGAAAGATGAAAAGAATTATTTTTTGCGCGATAAAATTACTTTTTTCTCAATAGTGTCACTATTTTTGATACATCCTGTATAAGGAGATGATTTTTCGTACGGTGATCATCGGGAAATTTGCATTTCCATTACTTTATCGATTTTAAGCGGAAATACGTGTCGCGGAGCAGCTTGTTCCGCCTGTTGGAAGAAGGGAATATCGTTGTTTTCGTTCCCGGCGAAGCTTGTTTACGTCAAGGCTGCTTTTCCACGGTGTCAACTGATGCCTCGTCATCGTTACACACTGTATACGATTCCTCGAATCATTCCCAACGCTCGAATGGTGGATAACACACGGGAAACTCGTCGAAATTACTGTATAATTAAAATACACTTAACGAGACCATCATTCTCATTTTCATATGTGAACAAGTGAAAATGCTTTATTATAAACGATGATATATTACATGTTTTTAATGTTTCTAATGTTCTAGTTGGATCTGTTCCATATTTTTTTTTCCTTCACATAATAGTACCATGAATGTGCGATTCGATGAATTATGGAAATTCATCGTTAATAATGTAAAGCTGGAGATGAAAATTTTTTGAAATTTTCCGACAGATATCAGCTCCTTTTTTTTTCTCATTTCAGACTTAATTTTAAAATAATTCACAAGAGCGTATTTCTTTACTTGAAATGTGAAAATTTGCACATTCATGGTTGTAACGTGAAGGGAGGCGATATTTAAAAGTGTGTTTTCATGTAAATTTTTTCACACATTTTCCTACGCACGTCCCACAATTGTTCCCCCTTCCATCGTTTGTTTCTCTAACAAAGTCACATGTGCTTCACCGCAGACGCCTCCGATAATATATGTAAGTCAGAGACAGCTGTCCCTTGGACGGTAGTCTTCATTGATACTCCTTTCTTTTGTCTCGCGTACAAGTGCACCATAAGTAGCTTCTTAAGAAGATAAACTCGCAAGGATTGCGGACACTCTTTGCCTCGTGGTCTGCGTACACTTGTAGGTGTTTGAATTTTCAAAAGATTTTCCAGCTTAAGGTATAAAACGGGCGCCGTAGAAAATATTAAAACACAGTAAAACAGTTGATTCACGAAGTTAAAAGCTAGATTTTGATTTTAAAAATGAACAATTCCTCGCTTTTCTTGTACTCAAGAATCCTCGATATCCCGTATCGCGCATCTTTTCTTCCGCAGAATAATTACAGTTGTGAAAGAAAGGAAAACCAGTGCTGAATACAACGAAATTTCAATTTCAGATCCAACAGATGTATCGTAGTATCGCGGTGAAATAATTTCCACGTTCGCTGGCCAGACAACTCACCTCACCGAGAAACGCTTCTTCATATTTCTCGTCAACTTTCACGCCTTCGATAATTGCCAATTGTAAAATTTCCACCGCGAAAAGACAAGGCAACGGCGATGTTCCTTTTAAAACAGAGCCAAGAAATACCGCAAGTATTTTCATCGGTCGAATTACGCTTTTCCGGTTTTGCAGATTGAAGAAATCGCGGGTAACAGGATACGAAATAGAGGAGGGAACAGAGAATAAAGTAAGAAGGATTTCTGTAACGCGGAATGATTTTCCTACGGCTTTTGCGATTTCCCGTTAAAATGGTACACAGAGAGAGAGAGAAAGAGAGAGAGAGTTTCGTGGAAACATTTTCGCTGATTCACGACTTCGTTAAAGCGATGAAAACATTTGGGTCAAACGGCTTGCAATCGAATATCGACTATCGGTGTCGCCGGAGTGCGGTCATCGTTCCTCGATTATTCCTCGGTTTGCGATCCCGATAAATCGACGTGTGTTTCGACGCCCCTCTTCTTCCTTTTCTCTACAACTTCCACGATTTCGCGAATCACGAGCAAAACAGTACAGAGAGTTTCTTCGACTCTTTGAACACCTCGTTTCGTCTTCAATTCGCCATTAACCTCCCAGCGATTCTCATAATTATCGTCCGCCTTATCAGGGTAATTACGGTCGGGCACAACTGAGAAAATGTTATACGTCATTCCAGCAAGGATCTCGTAACTTTTTCTTAAGTGATTTAATTAAAAATTATCACAACTCTGGTAAAGGGGAATTTTCGACGTTTCTTCTTCTTTTTTTTTTTTTCAAACCACAAAAATACCACGGACTTTTTAAATACCTCTGACCGGGTATTTTATAGGTACTCCACGGGAAACAACTTGTTCATCTTTATCAAAGCTAAATGTCACGAGAACTTTATTAATCCCTAGACGATCGAGGCCGCGCCAACGAAAACTTCACTCTGCGGACAGAGGCGAATAACTCACCGTAGTTAAACGTTTATACGGTAGATTTCGATCGCGTCGTATATTACAATAAAAAAACGTCGAAGATTTAAAAGAGAAAACCCGCGAAAATTTGAATCTTTTCCACCGAAGAATTTCCAAATCGTCAGAAACGTTGTACCCTGATCGTTTCCACTGTGTACGATATAAAAAAATAGAGAAAGAACGTTCAGGAATCCAGGTGTAAATTGGAGAAACGTTGTTCCGTCGGGAGGACGAGACTCTTCCTCCGTTAAACCGGCGGGAAGCGATTCGTGCCGGGTTGTGTATTGGGCAAGAAAGTGCTTCGAAATGCGGTTGAGGATGGCGTTGAAGAGAACGCGGTGGGACAGTGTTCTCGCAGATCGGGGGAGGGGTTCCCTTGAAATTCGCGAAATACACGGAGGATCACCGGTTTTACGGTGGTGTGAAAGGGTTAAGGAGAATAGAGGAATCGTGGTCGTAAAAGCGGAGCGAGCGAGGAAAAATAAGGCTTGTAGAGTTGTTCGCGAGCAAGGCACACAATCCTCGCCGGTGTTAAAGCGCGGCGATTGTGTCAAGGTTGTTTTTGCGGGGAGCAGAGCAGCGCGCGAGTTGCGTGGCGCGAGAGAGAGCCTCTCAAAATGGTTGCGCGAGCCTCTGTCCTGAAAAGGTTTCGAGCCGCTCAAAAGAAGCATTCCAAAGAAATACACCGTTACGCCACTCGGCCCGATTGTTTTTTTTTTCTTTTTTCTTTCTTTTTTCGACTTTCCAAGGGAGGGGCGTACAATCACCATGAATAACGACAAGGATTTTTCTAATCCTCCAGACGGGTTAAGAATTGTTCCTTTTGGATTTTCACCTCGGACATTCAGTTCGAGTGTGGTACTTTCTGCTTTTGAAACAGCCATCGCCGGGGGATTCTTGTCTGTGACGTTAATTCTGACGTATTCTTTCGCGTTTCTTCGCGTCCCTTCCTTCGTCTCTATCAATTCAACGGGATTTCAAACTTTGTTGGGTAAGTTTTAAGGGAAAACTACATTTTTCGTTTATATTTTTGCAAGGTGCTCGAAATTTTTATTTCGACGGAGGAAGATTGTTGGACGAGTAGGTGAATATTTGAGAGATTCTTGAGAACGATTAGGTTGGGAACCTCTGACGGATAGTATCTTGGATTAAGTAATTAATAATGATTGACGATACAGTTGGAAGGAAATTTAATAGTGGTCGGGATCGTTATTTCATTATACGTGGATATTACTCGTGTAAATTTTCTATAATAATCTATCGAGTTGCGTCACGCGCTTGTAAGGTTTACAACTTTCCTTCGGATTCATCTGGGAATCGATTAAAGCCAATTGACGAAAAAACAGGCACTCCCCGTTCCTCTAATCAAGCTTTTCTCCGCTGCGCAAGCACACGTGAGATTTTCTTGCCGAATATTTAAAAAAAAAAAATAGTTCGCTTTCGGTATAAATTCAACGATCGGCAAGAGAATGAACTGCTTTAAACTCATTTTTAGGGCTTCTTTGTCTATACCTTTTTAGTCGAAGCCAGTAAAAAAAAGGCAATCCAATATTTTCTTTTTTTTTTCCTTTTTACCAAGAAAACAGTAGAATTATCTTTTCCTGTTTAACAAATCCAATAAATTCCTCCTCTCTTCTTACATTTGCACCGTCGCAATTTTACCTCTTTGAAAACATTTTTTTCCCCACAATCTTCAGTCTAAATAACATCTGTTCTAGCCAGAAAAAGAGCTCGCCTACTTTTTACAAGTTCTTGTTCCCGCGAGTTTCGGTGAATTATAGTCGCGATATCGGGCTAGGTTTATTTTGCCAGGAAAAGAATCCATTGTATTCTTATCTCTACTTTATTGCGAGGAGAGCAAAGAGAGAGAGAGAGAGAGAGGGGAAAAAAGCACGCAGAAATGGCAGTTGAACTCTCGTTTGAGAAATTACTTTTGGCCGAGAGAGAATCTAACTGCTACCGTTTCCTCCATCTCTTCTCCCCCTTTTCACGATAATACGCTTCATTATCGTTCGTGTTTCACCGCAAACTAAAAATCCTAATCTTCAGAACGAGTATTCGTCGTTCTTGACCAGCGTGTGCATAGACACTGTGGAACACGCTGCGAATACTTTTTACAACGTTCCATGAAAGAATTTACATTACTAGTTCGCATCTACCGTGATGTAACTAGACGTTTTTTTCGTTCGCACGTTTTACCAGGAAAATCTTTCCGCCAAGGTAGAATTTTCTCGGGTCTGATCGTGCAGAAATACTTGTAAAACCGTGCGTGAAAAAGAGAAAAGGAATTTTATATCGGCAATTAAACATTTTCAAAGTGTTGTCGCCGTCTCTCCTCTTCGCTCTTCTCTGCGTGCGAAAAATTTACGAGCTGCACTTAGAGAAGCGAACTGGTGCAAAATTTGTTAGCTTGCAAGCGTTTATTGTAAAGAAATCTGGTACAATAAAGTACATTAACGCGATGTGATAGCTCGAAGAATAAACGATAACTTTTTAGCGACCGCTGCGCGTATTAATTACACATTAAGTTTTTTAAAAGACGTATAAAAAATTGATATCAAGGACTTGGCATAATCTAGAAACGTGGAAAAAGCCTTGCATTACGCACTCACGATGTAGATTATTGTCCAGATGTGACAAAAGAAGAAAATTCATATTTTTGCTACAAACTTCAATCTAAGATTAACGATTACCAAAGATTACCTTTTTTTTTTGTTTGTTTAACACCGTATAAAAACGGGGAATAGGTGAAATTAACAGTACTTAAAGATCAACGAAAGGTGTTTGAATCACGCGTGACAATTCTCGTGTCGCAGAAATTCAATTAATTCCCGCGAATCATTCATATGATCCGCTAATCACTCGGACTAACGCCGCATGCTAATTACCCACGGTGTGTAGGTACTGTATATACGCGGACGGTCCCACGTGCTTTCTTTCGAAGTCAAGAGCGTGAGCGTGCGCGCGAGCCGGTCGTAATTCAAGGAAACACGCGTCCAAGTGTCACATTATATGAATGAAATACAAACTATCCGTAACTAAGTTTAGCTCTTCAGCCCGAACAGCTGATCCCGCCGACCTCCGAAAGTACGTACAATAAAACCACGCGAGAGAGAGTGCATCCTTCTCACTCTCTTACTTGCGGCACGGACGTGTACACACGGACGAAGTCGAAGAACAGAGAGAACTTGTCTCTCTGTGTCGATGACCCGAATAATGGGGACAAAGAAAGAGAAGTAGGGCGAGGAGGGAGGAGGTGGAGAAAGAGAAGAAGACGTTACCTGAACCGAGGAGATGTTTCCATTAAACGAAACCAGATTTTTTTCTCTTTCTGTTTCTTTTTCTGTTTTCTTTTTTTTTTTTTTTAAGAAACCGAAAAATTTTTTTCGCGATCGACGACGGGAAGTTTCGTCTCCGCGAGCGATTTTCCAAGGCGAGACGCCTTTTTGCGCGGGTACGCACGATTATTTAAATGCATTCAAATTTATGGAAGTGAATTAACAAGCTGCGACTGTGATTTACGAATATATCGGGTAATAATGCGAGATTAATTAAAATTGAAGAATTACGAGATCTACGACGCATAGAGATAATATCGGGGGGAGAGATTATTTTCGGTGAAGAATTTGAAATTTCTCGAAGCGGAAAGATTTTTCGGTGGAATTGATATCGGAGGTAGGTTTTTTTACAGGGAGAGGATAATTTGTTGACGACGGAGATATAGGGATAGGGAGGAGGAAGTTTGACAGGATATCGGGAAATCCAATGTGCGGAGAACGTGTCCTCGATTTGGCTCGTGTTCCACTGGCGTTGTCAGCCAGCCCACATTGAGAGTGTCAGTAGATGGAAAACCACTTCTTGCGGCTGCATTTTTAATCAGTATTCCGATTCCTGTATTCCTCGCGGCCGTTCGCCAGTATTACGTCATCGATTCGCGTGTAACCGTGATCTTGCGCACCCCGCGCATTGCAACGATCCACGTCGCTGATCGTACGGTGACGTTTTCTGTTCCTAGGTACCAGAATGAGCTTCCAAAGAAGATCAAGTCGCGCGGCAAAGATGCGCATCTCAATCACGAGGAGCTGGTGCAAACGATGAAATGGAAGCAGATAGTGAGTTTTCTCGCGTGTTTTCCAAGTAGACAGTAGACAAAATTTGGAAACATTAATCTTTTCGAATTAAATGTAGATTTTAGTTATTTCGTTTAGTTGATATATCGAGGAGTAGAAAGTTTTTTATGTATTTCAACGTTTCCTCGGTTCGAAATTTGAATGAAATTTCTTCGGTTCGATTGATAAGCAACTAGAAGTTGAGAACTTGGGTTATTTTGATATCGAGATTGAATATCTTGAAACGTGTAATTCTGTTTGAATTTCCAGCGTGGGAAGTTCTACCCTCAACTGTCCTACTTAGTAAAAGTGAACACACCTCGTGCCGTGATGGCGGAAACGAAAAAGGCATTCAAAAAGCTTCCAAATCTTGAACAAGCGATCACCGCCCTCTCGAATTTGAAAGGAGTTGGAACCACGATGGCTTCGGCCCTATTGGCAGCAGCATCACCTGAGAATGCACCTTTTATGGCAGACGAATGTCTGATGGCAATACCGGAAATCGAGGGCATCGATTACACCACCAAGGAGTACCTTAACTTTGTCCAGCACATTCAGAATACCGTCGAGAGGCTGAACAAACAAAGTAAGTACTTATCCTCTTAATCCACCAGTGTTCTGCTATAAAATAGAGCATATAATTCACCTGGTTTAGATAAAAATTTCACGATTAAAAAGTTTTCCAAAGCTAATAAAAAGTTTTCAAATTTTCAGTCTTCTAAAAATACAAAAATTCTTAATATCTTTGCAATACTTAATATTTCCAAACTTTCGTCAAACACAAATTCCTCCTACACGTAGATTAACACCGAATCCATTATCAAACCTGTCACGTTTCTCAATTAATCCCAATTGTGTAACACGGAATTACAAAGACTCTACTCGAGTGTCCGAAAAGAAGAAAAAAGAAAGATAATGTCCAAGAATGTATATCCGTATCAAGGTGATATCTAAGCGTTCCCCTCTTGGATCCTCTTTGTTCCAGCGTCAAACGGTAAAACATGGAGCCCACACAGGGTGGAGCTGGCGCTTTGGACCCATTACGTCGCGTCTGAACTGAAGCCAGAGCTTCTCGATGGTATTCCAGGCTCGACGGAGAACGGGAACTCTCATCCGCCGAGCAACGGCGAAGCGACAGAACCGTCGGACGACAGCAATCCGGAAGTGGTGGCAGTGAACGGTAAGGAACCAGCCAGTATTGATCCGGCGGCCATCGACGAGAACAGCATGACCACGTCCTTCACCGAAGACTCGATGGATAAACCAGCTACGCCGATTACAGTGGCCGTAGCGAGCGAAGACACGAACGATTCCCTCGCCACGAACGACAACGACGACAGCAACAACACTCCGCGACCAACAGACAGCGAGGACACAGAAGACTCGCAGGACGTGCAGGGGCCGCCCACCAAGAAGAGTAAGAAGTGACCCACCACCAACCAAGGAGCCACGAATACGAGCAACAACGTCAGCACCCTCGTGTCGGCCGCCAATCTAACGCTGATCGCAGCGAGGCGCTTCTAAAAACTGCCAGGGTCACCGATCAGGGTCGCGGATAGTAGACCTGTAGCTACCATCGCACCATCACGATCGTTTCTCGATGATTCTCCTTCGCCCCTTCTCTCTCTCTCTCTCCCTCTCTCCTCTATTCTCTCTCTGTCTTTCTCTTTGTATTTTATTCTTGATTTTCCTCGACACGTTATTTATCCTAGATCACCATCCTTCCAACCAGCTTCTTCCTCTCTTCTAGACATTTCCTCTCAATTTTTCACATCTTCCACAATCTCTATATCTCTTTCCTCTCTCTCTGTATGTCTTTATTCTTTACCTGATGTATACCTTGTTACGATGCTCTTTGTAGAAATTTTCCTCGGGGACTTCGTGTAAAATAATAACGTTGTCACGTATGTATGTACACACACAAGACGGAGAAGGTTGGAAGATGCTGTACGAGCACCTTGCTGGTTTTTAGATTCATCGGGCTCGATCGGAGAGGCAGAAAGAAGAAGAGGCATGAAAGCTCGACCGATGTTTCGATGATTCCTGTTGTTTCGTCTTTCCTTTCCTCTCTCTCTCTCTCCCTCCCTCCCTCTCTCTCTCTCTCTCTCTCTCTCTCTCTGTATACACAGTTACCCAACGTTACTAGTTCCCTTACCCAGGTTCGTTTCCATAAACATCGGCCAATTTTCCTGTCAAGTTCTTGATAAATATATGACGTATACATATATTATACATATTCTTCTAGTTCTACAGGCAACATTGTCGGTGGTCATTTTTATACTGATGTGATATA